ACACTTGCCGCCTTTCTCTTCTTCACCATTGGAACACGTGTCACCCCAAATTTATATTTGGATTTTAAGATTTGAATCCACAAAGCATTCTCATTCTAAAGAAGCTTCTAGCGCAGTTTAAAACTAAAAGCTTTATTTTGCTTTTCAAGGCCTTTCATGCCCTGCCCACGCCATTAGTAAATGGACTTTCTTCCTTTCCTCATCAGCATCCAAAGGAAACTTCTACACAGCTTTTCCAAATCTAACGAGTTTCTTTGAGAGTAATAGTTTAAAGATTGCATATAATAGCTAGGTAACACAGTAATATCTGACTTGATTAGCACAGCTCGCCCAGCGATATTCAAATAATTCCTTTTCCAACTAGAAAGTCTTCCTCTGATTTTATTCAGAATTGGTGAGAAGGGCGATAACGAAGCTCTCTTGTGAATGAGTGAAATTTCCAAGTATTTTCCTAGGATTGGTGAGAAATGGGTTCGACCTGAGATGGGTGAAGTTCGGGTAGACGTTGGTGGATATGTTTGTAATGGAATGGATAATTGTGAAGGGTTAATTAGACACTACAATGCTAACTAAGTTGTTGGATTTAATGCATGTCTTGGAAATCTGCTGGTTACGTTAACTGAATTGATGGGAATTCTGAAGGGGCTGCAAATCTGTTGGGGTAGATGATTTAAGAATATCAAAGTCTTCATAGATTGTGCAGAGGCCATTAATCTTATCTACAAAAACGAATACCACCCTTTTGGCGACATTATATATTAATGATGTTAGGCTATTGTTAAACAGGCCTTGGTTTGTTTATGTTAATTTTATGTTTAAGGGAGTAAATTTTTGTGCTTGTTTTCGAGTTAGAAATGCTGGAGGAGAGATAGGATCTTCTGTCACATTTGATCAACCACCTCCTTATTGTGTTAAGGTGGTAGACGATGAAAAAAAAAAAAAATCATTTCTAGTTATTATGTAATTGTGTACCAATTTGGTATTATAAACCCTTCTGATTAAAAAAAAAAAAATAGTTGTCCTGCCGACCTAAACATTCAACAACAGCTGCTATTTTTCAAAGAAAACAAACAGGAATATTATATTGCATTAATTATTAATTGTGGCACAATTATATTTCTATTTTGTATTTCTCTTGTTAGATCACGACAAGTGTTAGAGAATAATGAGGTCCACGCGTCTAACATACGACGACGTGGGTTAGGTAGCCGTTAAAGCCGGCCCAGTCTCCGGAGTCACACATCAACACGGCACATCAAAGAGAAAAAAGGAACAGAACATCAAATAAAAAGTCAAAAACACGTCAAAAAGAAAAACGTAAAAAACACGTCTTCTTAATTTACGCATATTTTAGTTTTATAATACATCCAACATTCCGAATATATATATAAAAGAACCGATAAACAAATATACTAAAATATGTTTTATCATTTAAAATGTTTGTTCATTGTCTAAGGTGTAGTGGTTAAGTTTAAACAGACTGCTGGTTTAAAAAAAAAAAATATATATATATATATACCATTTTATTTAGGATTAATATACAATGTGAACTCCAAACTATAGATTCAAAAGTAATTTGAATTTTAAATTTTTAAAAAGTACATTCTGAACTCTAAATAATAAAAATTGGGATCATTTTGTCCGACCATTAAATTTATAGAAATGTCTGTTAGTTTTTTTAAAAAAATTGAGATTTAATGTATGATTTTTACCAATTTCCTACCTTCATTTGGGAAATTAGCACGGCCCCAATTTAAAAAAAAAATAATGAACACTTGTGTAAATTTAATTATGGGGTATAATTGTTTCAATTTTAATTATTTAAAATTCATAATGTATCTTTTAAAAGCGTTCAAAGTGCCTCTAGATTTATAGTTTAGGGTTCAAATTGCATATAAACTCTTGTTTATTTATTTTTTAATATTTTACTAATTTCAGGATTTAAAAAAATTCTTACATATAATTTTGTTATTGTTGATTTTTTCTTAAAATTATATATTTACTAAAAATTTATCATGATTAGAGATTTTTCAAAAAGGAGAAAATCTATATGCTTAGATTTCTATATTTAATGTTCTTGTTTTTAATAAATCAAGATATGTAAATTTTTTATATAATATTTATTTTATAAAAATTTTTTATTATTATTAGAAAAAATTAAATCTACTCTTATAAGGCTAATTACTTTAATTTAAAATCTTTTGAAAAAATAATCTGAATATCTGAATGTAATAGAAATTATTTTCAAAATAATTAAAATTTTAATTATTCTTAAAGTTGAAGTTGTTATAATATTTTAAATTGTTGTTATCTTTATTCAAATAAAGGTCATTATATTTATTAATCTTATTTAAATAATTCGAACAGAAATTTATTATGTTAATATAAAATCAACATTTGTTTTAATTTAAATACAATTTTTATTTTTTTTCTTCCAAACAGTATGGTATTAAATAAAAAACAATAACGTGATTTTCTGATATCTTTTGGACAAAAACAAGTTGCTAGGAATCAACAACTAGAATAAGGCTTCACTATTGATATCCGATCCCAGATTTATCTGGGAAAGAAGATTCGTGCATTTGTATCATTACTCATCTATTTTTAGTTTTTAACTTTATAAGTTTTTATTATTTTGTATTCACGTGATGTAGCCAATATCCATCTTACATTTTTTTTTTGGGGGCCAAGATCCATCTTACATTTAAAACTGCAATACTTGCAATATGTATGCATATTGTATTAGGGGCTAATTTGTTTTTTTAAAAAATATTATAAAATTTCTCTAAAATATGTAAATGACAATTTAATTTCTCAAAGTTTCGTAATTTTCTTAAAGTCCCTAAAACTTTTGTGTCATTAATGAATTTATCTAAATTATTAAATTAACTTTGCTGAAAATAAATGCCTCAAAGTTTTGTTTAAATATTCATAATTTTTTTTATATTTGCAACAATGCAACAGCAAATCACAACTTCACATGTTAAATTTTTTATTTGCTATTGTATTATTGCGAATATAAAAAAAAAGTTGTGAATATTTAAAGAAAACTTGTGAATCATTTATTTTTAATAAGGATAATTTGATAATTTATATAAATTTATTAATAACAGAAAAGTTTTTAAGGACTTCAGAAAAATTATGGTATTTTGAGGGACTAAATTATAATTTATATATTTAAAAAAATTATTATCATTTTTTATCCATATTTAAAAGTTTGATGTGAAAATTGTGTTGTTAATAAAACTAACTAAGAAATACTTTATAAAATTAAATATTAAAAAAATAATAATATATCATATTTCCTTAGGGTGAAGATTCGTGTGCGTCTTCTCCTTCCTTATCATTTATTATATTTTATTGTATTTGACACTCCTTCCGTCCCAAATTATAAGACATTTTTAAATAAAATTTTACATATTAATAAACCTCATTAAATACACTTAATAACCTTATCTTTTTAAAATAAAAATATAAACTTTTAAAAATATTAAAAATTAATTATAAAGAAAAAAGATAATATTAAAATTAATATATTTAATAAAACCTTAGTATACTTAAAATATTTTATATTTTAAGATAAAATTTTTTTAAAAAAATATCCTATAATTTGATTTGCATCAAAGCACTTGGTGCCTTGCATTTCGTAAAGAACAATGAAGTCCTTCAATAATTAATTGGGTCAGTTTTTAAATGGGAGAATTGCACTGTAAACCTTAAAAAAACTGCACTATAGGCCCAACAAATAAAAATACACTGGAAGCTCAAGAGTCTTGGTTGCAATTTTTCTTAGAGATAAAAATATAATTTTGCCATTAATCAACTTGACATGCATGGACATTCTGTTGAGAATTCATGAACATCGTGTTTCGCATTTATATACATTATGTTATACATTTTTTTGTATAACTTGTACATTTTATTAAACATATTGATTAATTGAACACACATGAACATTGTGTTGAGAGTCCATGAATATGTGATGCACCCCTAGATATTGTATCGTACATGCTCTATGTGACTATTTTAATTAACCTACATATCAATTGGACACTTATGGACATTGTATTGATAATTTATGAATAATTGTGTTGTGCACTTATAGACATTATATTATACATGCTTTGCATACCTATTTTAAGCGTATTTAGAATTTATGAATATCGTATTGTATATCCATATATATTATGTTGTACTACTCCATGTAACTTATATTTTAATTAACCTACAGATCAATTGAATATACATGGACATTACGTCGAGAATTCATGAGCATTATATTATTTTTTAATTTATGAATGAGGGTTTGGGACAAGTTCTAAATTTTTAAATCACATAAGGGCGAAATATACTTTCGGGCTCAAGAAAAATTGCAACAAGAACCCTTGAGCCAACGGTGCATCTTCAAAATTTTTGCGCCCAAAGTATAATTTTTTTTAAGACCTATAATGCGATTCTCCCTTTCTAATACAACAGCAATAACAGTGTATGGCACTTTTTCATTTAGTTTTTTATTTTTTATTTTGCTATAATTTCCTTTTTATTATTATCAATATCATGCCTATTCCCACCATACAAGTTTTGTATATTTTTCTCTTTTTATTCCTTTACTCCCTTCACTTATAAACACTTGCATTTGGAAAAATTGTAGCAAAAGACATTGAAAACTCACTGCTTGATTTAAAAGTTAAGAATATCACACATTTTAAGGACATGTTTCTCTTGTATGTTTGTACAAAAAACCCAAAGATATCCATACTTAAAAGTTTGATGTAGGAATTTTTTTTATTAACGAAACTATCGGTATTATCATTAAAGAATTGAAAAAATATTTTATAAAATTAAATATGAAAAAAATAATATATCATATTCATGTGGGGCGAAGATTCGTGTGCGCCATCTTACGCGGTTCTTCCAAACTTGTTTCTTGACGACGCACGTTTCCTTCCAAGCAATAAATTGTGAAGACCTCTCTATAAATAAAATATTATCCTCCTCGTTCTATTCGTACCTCAAATTGAATCTTTCTTCTTCTTCTTCTTCTCTTTCTGATCTTCTTGTTCGTTTATTTTCTTTGTAAGCATCGACGTTTCGTTGATCTTTATATATATTTCTGGGTTCTCGTCTGGTTCAGCTCAGTTCTTAATTAATTGATTGCGGAAGATACAAGCTTGATTTAATTATATTTCAACCATGAGTTCTGGTATTCCAACAGGTAAGTAAATTTGATTTTATTACTAAAATTGTTCAATTTTGTCCTTGTTTTTTCTCTGGTTTTATGAATGTTTATGATTCGGTGACTTGATTTTAATTAAAATTTAGAATTTTTTATATCCTAAATATGAAGAAAATCAATGGAGTAATTAATTTCTAACTTTGAGATTAACCATGATCAACATAGATAATTTATATATGTTATATATGTTCTTTCTGAAAATAAATAATTGATCAGCTCTGATCAATCTGTCTCATTAAAGTGGGAAGAGAGAGGGAGGCAGATGGATCATATATAAGCAGAGTTTACCTTTAGATCAAAGCAACATAGTTTAGAGAGTTAACGAGCATCTTAGAGTCTTAACTATCGCGCATATAACATCTCAAATTCTGAAATCTTAAAATGAATAAAATTTTTCTTTAACTTTCAAATTTTATGTACCTAAAATCTCATCATTAAATTAAAAAAAATGATCGTCATTTTTGTAGTTATAAGGCCTAGTCACATATTGATGTGGCATTCATCTTGACCTTTAAAAATAATAGTTATTTTTTTCAATTTAACATTGGGGTTTTAAGAAGTTAAAAGTAGAGAAATTTTTTTACATATTTTAAGAATTCAAGATTCAAAATATCATTTGCACGATAATTTATGATTCAAGGTGCTTGTTAACTCTAGTTTATTTATCTCTCATAATTTAAATAACTTGATCATCAATATCATATTTACATTTTTCCTAACTTTTCTAAATGTACAGTTTTTTTATAATTAATTTTACTATATAATTTGTTATTGATTTCATTTTAAAAGAATTATGTTAGTATTTTAATTTTTTATGTAATGAATTTTTCAATGGTCAACATAATATATTTTTAAGATGGATTTTAAAAAATTTAAGATGCTTCAACTATTATATATATTTAAAATATTTATTTTCAAATCAGATCATGAAAGGTGGACTTTTTTTTAATGCAATACTTATCCATTTCTTGCTCTAATTAATTACTTGACACGTCAGATATCTTTCGGTAGCTACAATTGACAAGAAGATTAATTTAATTATTAATATTAATTTGTTTTATGTTTATTTTTTGTAAGAACAGCATATCCCAAAGCAACATCAACAAATGCACCAATAATGACTCCTCCACCAGTTGGTTATCCCACCATTAATGGCACTTCACCAAACCCTCAGGCAGCTTCTTTCCAGACCAAGTCTAGGGGTGATGGCTTTTGGAAAGGATGGTACCATCTCCCTCTCCCTCTCCCTCTCCCTCTCTCTATATACATATGGACACACACAAACGCACTATTTTCGGTCTTGCTTATAAGACTGAGAAAGACAATTAATATTCGATCCTCTACTTGTACGATGCTTAACTATTTTTTATATTCATCTCCACCTTTTTATCCATGTTTCATGTTAGGAAATATTATTAAAAATAATTTTTTTACCTTTATTAAAGATAAAAATATAAACTTATTAAATTTTAAGATAAGATTCATGAGATTTAAGACTTAAGTTTTTTGGTCATGATAGTATATATACTTTATATGGTCCCTATCATAGAACACTTTACAGAAAAATTATTTGGTTATTAATATAATTGATGGCGTATTAATTATAATTTTTAAGTTCATGAATGACAGAATGAGACATTTAAATTTCAAAATATAACTTTCAATTTTCTAAAATCTATTTTCCGGAATGTAACTAATTATTCATTCGCCAGCTCTTCTGAGTCATCAATATCATTATCCCTTCTTTTAAATTGTGGGCCCCATTGGAGCAATTATATACTGACTTTTGTTTTTGGATTATTTTTCAATTGCCCACTAAAATTGATTTTGTTGGCAGCATAAGGTAGAACTAATTGGCTATTGGTTTGACCAATTTGATGCAGTTGTGCGGCATTGTGTTGCTGTTGTGTTTTGGACGCTTGCTTCTGAGGAGCCATATTATTTACGAGAGACATATATATATCATCTTTATTTGGTCATGTTTGGTTTCTTTCTTGAATAAATAAAGGATGATTGTAATGTAAACTAGATTGTTTTAGTTTCTAGTTTTTAATTTTTCATAGATTCATTGTTGTTGACTTGTACGTTGTTAGTGTTGTATAATAACCTATAATATACAATTCTTTTTATGCAAAGTGTCTTTTTTCTTCCCTTTAGAAGTGTTTGACCTGGGATTTAGATTTCCATTTATTATAATTAAGATATAGTTTTTAATGATTTAACAATTACAATAAGAGCTATTTCCCTCGTGTTAGTTTCTTAGTTGCACAAAAAAAAAAAGTAAAAATAAAAGAGTTTCTTATACACAGAGCTATTTACATGGTTTGGTTTGATAAAATGAAAAGAGAGCTGTATGGAGGAATAAATAAAGAGTCATGGTTGACCCCCACCAAGTGTAGCATAATAGAATCTTTTAAGCATTATTTTAATTCTAAATTTCAATTCTTGAAAATGTATATGTATGTAGAGTATCACATGGGAGATAACAACCCTTAAATGGTGTACAGGTTTTTTGAGAAAGTAATTCTATGGTTGTGAACTATTGGGACACTTTGGGAAAAAAATCATGGTTGACAAATAGGGAATGATTGATAAGTGGAATCAATTTTTTTTTTAATTTTGGTTGAAGAATGGTTTAATTTTTAAAACATATTACATTTAACTATTACTCCCTCTGTTCAAAAATATAAAATATTTTTTAAAAAATTGGATATTTAAAAATATAAAAAAATTTTAGTTTTTCAAAGTGTAATCATTGTCTTTTTTTTAAAGTGTCCCTATTGATAGTGAATTTATATTTATTATAGAGTATTTAATAGAGGTAAATATAAAAAAATAGTGTTAGTTTGAAAGTAGGTAATTACTTTATTGAAAGATGAAATTCAGTTAAAAATACTTTATATTTTTAAACGAAAGGAGTATAAGTTAACTTTGTTTATGATCAACCGCTGTTATAGGCCATCATTATTAACAACTAACAATCATCACTATTGACAATTGTTTTAACTCTAAAATTATTTTCAAATTAACATAATCAAATAAATTTTCATTTTATTTTGTTTTGAAATATAATTTTTAAAAATTAGTTTACAAAATAATTTTTAAAAACTAAAAACGAGATGAAAACATAACAAGCCCTAAATTATATAAATGCTAAAAAATATATTTTTAAAAGGTATGAAAGGAGCAAGAAAAGAAATAGGGAAAATGATATAAAAATTCCTCCAAAATATGCAAATAAAAAAGAAGAACTCCCTCTATTTTTATATATAAGAGAATAAAATTGTATTACACAATTTAATAAAATTAGTTAATTATAATAATTATGTTTAAAAATAAAAAATTGAACCAAAATATCCTGTATTAAGTAACATAATTATGTATTAATTATTTTTTGTTAATGTAAATTATGAGGGATGATTTCAAAAGTATATAATAAATATTTATTAGAATGAATTATTTTACTAATAAAAAAATATAAGCCAAAATTTATAGTTTATCTGACAATAAAAAACGGACGAGGGGTACTGCAAATTGGGGTAATTATTTTGAAATTTTTATGGCCTTTTCTAACATAATTTATTTGGTAAAATTACTGTATTGCCCAAAAGAATCCGCCCAGCTCGACCTCCTTCCGCAATGGAGCACCGTCGACTTGGCCAACTTCGTCTTCTTCGTTGATAGCAGCATTCTACTCAGGGACTACTTTCTGCTTCTTTTCGAATTTATCCCTGTACATTTTAGTCAGAAATTTCATTATACTCTCAACCTAGATGAATTAAATGAAAATCATGAATGAATCAATAGATTACAAACCGTTCATAAACCAATCATCATCAATCGTAAAATCAAATAAAATGCATCAGGAAACACAAAATCTAAACTGAATCTAAATATAAATATGAATTGAAGCACGAATCATTAAAACAACAAAAAGAAGGAGGGTACAGCAAGAGGAAGAGGAAGACGACGACGTTCGAACTCGCAAAGAAGAGGATCTTTGAACTTGGATCTGCAAAAGAGAAGAGGGTCTGCAAGCGACATTCAAGTTGAGCCGACGACAGAGAGATATGAAACTAGTGAACCTTCACGCCTTCAAATCTAAAACACTGCTGCCATTGAAGACTGAATTGGCTGGCACTTCGTCGCAGAAAATCACCAAGCTAGGGAATTCTTTTTGGACGATACGGTTATGTTACCAAAAAAAAAAATTATGTCTGAAATGTGCCCTGAGATTTCATAATAATTAACTTATCACGATATTTTTGTTATCATTTATATATTTTTAAAAGATTTTGTGTCATTTTTCCAAAGAAATAAAAAAATCTGGAAAATGGAAAAAAGGAGAGCAAAAGTGCAAAACTAAAGCAAAGTTCGATTCAAGGCACTTTTGTCACATGTAGTATTGCTTTACATTTTCTTTGTTGCACGATTTTATTAATGTGTTTGCATTGAATAATTAATAAAAAATTATAATTGTTTGTTCCATTTTAATCATTGTCAAAAGAAAATTAACTATTATTTAAATTAAAGTAATCATGAATATTTACAATACTTGAATTTTAATGAATTAAAAATTTACATTAAGAAAGTTATAATTGCTTATTCTATTATAATTATTTGTTAGAAAAAAAAAATTGTTATTATTTAAAGTAGCTTGATATTTACTTTTTTTGGGCAAGAGATGTTACTTTTATTTTTAATTTTGAATTGGGAGCATTTTAGTTATTTCATCAAAATTATTAATGTTAGAAAAGTTTTAAAAACTTGAAAAAAATTATGACATTTTTTTAGACCTCATTTTTATTTTTCATATTTTTGAAGGTTTTTCTGTTATTTTCTCTTAAAAGTAAAGTTGGATTCAGGACACTTTTGTCGCACATAGTATTGTCCTAGATTTGCATTGGTGATGAAAGCCAAGTTGTGTGTGGTTATTGTCCTAAATTTTCTATGTTGCAAGATTGTAATATTAGTGTGTTCGAATTTAATAACTGATGATTCCTGATTTTTCTATGTTCCCTTAAAAAGTAAAACACATGTAATAAATTAAACAAACTTCCCAATTTCCACTCCCCACCATTACAATTCACACTCTAAATATAGCATCTACTAAAATATGCGAACTTGCAAACTCTCTTTCCAATCTTTTCTCAGCCAAATCACAAAAATTTTCCGTCATTTTCCTCTCAGAAAAATTCAACCCAACATGCCAAGAAGTCAAATCTGATCGATATTGCCATCAAATCAATAATCTGAGAATTAATTAAACCATCAACAACAACATGCCTGCAAGCAAGCTAAGGAAGGCCCTTGGTGCAGTAAAAGATCAAACAAGCTTAAGTCTCGCCAAGGTAACAAATGCAGCAAATCTTGAAGTTGTCATCCTCAAAGCCACAACGCATGATGAGATTCCCATTGAAGATCGTTTCGTTAATGAAATTGTGGGTCTCGTATCATCCAACAAGCTTTATGCAGCAGCATGTGCTCAATCCATTGGCAAACGCATTGGTAAAACCAGAAACTGGGTTGTTGCGTTGAAATCTCTCATGATCATCCTCAGAATCTTTCAAGATGGTGATCCTTATTTCCCCAGAGAAGTCTTGCATGCAATGAAACGTGGCTCAAGAATCCTAAATCTCTCAGGATTCAGAGACGATTCGAGTTCGAGTCCATGGGAATACACTGCTTTTGTCAGATTAATGGCTTTGTACCTTGATGAACGCTTGGATTGCTTCTTAACAGGAAAGCTTCAAAGAAGAATCACATTCAAGAATCAAAGTCCTTTCAAGAATCATCATCACAAGATGTTTAATGATACTGTGGGAATCAAAGACATGAAACCAGCAATGTTGCTTGACAAGATTACTTATTGGCAACGCTTGTTGGATAGAGCTATAGGAACAAGACCAACTGGGGAAGCTAAAAAAAATCGTTTAGTTCAAATCTCTCTATACGCTGTCGTTCAGGAGACTTTTGATCTCTATAGAGATATCTCTGATGGGCTTGCTGTTATTCTTGATAGCTTCTTCAAATTCCCATACAAGTCATGTCTCTCTGCATTTCAAGCTTGTGTGAAATCTTGCAAGCAGTTTGATGAGTTAGGTGATTTTTATTCATTTTGCTTAAGCATTAGGGTTGGTAGGAGCAGTGAGTATCCTAAAGTTCAGAAGATATCAGAAGAACTCATGGAAACATTACAAGAGTTCTTAAGAGACCAAGCTACAACTAACACTAACATTAATGTTAGTGGTTATAATCATAATCTTCATTCTAAATCTTCTTCTTCTTCTTCACAATACTCACCACTCTCAAAACACTTGCTGGTTTCTGCATTAGGGGAAAGTCCAGGTATTCATTATGAGAGATATGGGACACCAGAGCGTTACTTTGAGACAGAATCTGAACATGGATCATCTCATTGCACATCATTAGAGGATTTAATGATTGCTACCGATGCTGGAACGTTGACACCAAGGAGGTTTGAGATAGATTATGGTGATGATGATCAAGTTGAGAAGCAATCAGAGAATAATAATGATGATGATACATCTAGTTCTTATGAGTCTTGTTCAAACCATTCTTACCCTATTGATCAAGCAGCTGGGTCTAGTTTAGACCTTGTGAGTCTTGATGAGGTGCAAAACGAAGGAGAAAAAGAAAAGAGAGCAAATAATAATTCATCCCAAGATTGTTGGGAGCTAGTTTTGGCAGAGACAACAAGTACTACAACAGAGAGAGAGAAGTTTGATCCACCTAATTCAGTCCCACATCATCACTACAATCCTTTTCTGGAACTTGATGATGCAACTGTTTCTCCTTGTATCACTACTACAGATCAACGACAGACAAGTTTGATTGATATGTTTGATGGGGAAGAACTTGGGTTACAAGCAATGGGTTTGAAACCAACTTTCACTGCTCAAGGTTCTAGTTTTGAAACAGATTTGACATCAATTTTTGGTGACTTGAATTTGAACACTACTTCATTTGCAATGACAACAAGCTTTAGTTCACAAGAACTTGCAGAGAATAATAACATGGCTTTGGTACCAGCTTTTCAAGAAAAAAATAATCTTCCTCCTGAGATGAACAATTCTGCTTCATTGTTTCAATCTCAAGGTTCATTTAAGATTAGTTCAACGTCACCTTTTGAGGGATATAATTCATATCAAATGAGTGCAACACAAACATTGAATTCTCATGATTCTTCGTCCCTGACAAGCATTAATGCATCAACTTTTACTTCTCAAGGTTCTTTCAAGACTGATTCAGCATCATCATCAACTACTTCTCAAGGCTATGAGTTATATCAAACAAGCATAGCACCAACTTTTAATTCACAAGGTTCATTTAAGATTAGTTCAACATATCAGACGAGTACAAGACCAACTTTCAATTCTCAAAGTTCATTCAAGTTTGGTTCATCAACATCAACTTCTCAAAGCCATGATTCATATCAAACCAGTGCAGCACCAACAATTGCTTCTCAAAGTTCATTCAAGCTTAGTTCAACATCACCTTATGGCACAGAACCAACGTTCAACTCTCACAGTTCCTTCAAGAGTAATAGTTCAGCATCAAGTTTTCATGACCACGATTCATATCAAACGAGTACGACACCACCGTTGAATTCTCAGAATTCCTCTAAGATCAGTGCAGAATCCACTTCTCAAAGTCACGAGTCTTATCATTCAAGCATTGCACCTACCTTTTATGGCCATAGTTCACATCAAACAAGCTTGGAGTCAACTTTTCAAGGTCATAATTCCTATCAGGCAAGCATTGAACAATCTTTCCAAAGATATACTTCTTACCAGGCAAGCATGGAACCGACTTTTTATGCCCACATAAATTCCAACCAAGTGAGCATAGAACCAGCTTTTCAAGCCAATAATTCATTTCAGACAAGCAATAGACCAGTTTTTCATGGTCATACTTCATCTCAAAGTAATACAGAATCAACTTTTCTGGGTTATAATTCATATCTGACAAGCACAAAACCACCCTTTCATGGAAATAATCCATGTCAGATTAGAAAAGAACCAGCTCTTCTTACCCATAATATATATCAGACCAGCACAACACCAAGTCCTACATTTAGAGGGCAAAATAGTGTATGGCCAATGGTAGAAGCAACGCCAACCATTGTTGCTAAGAACCCTAATAACGAAGCTCTGGTTCAATCAACCTTTTGGGAGCAAAACTTCCAAAACACAATGGCTGAACCAACATTTCGTGCAGAGATTTCTAATGGGCCTTTATTGGAAGCACCAAAGGAAGATGATCCTTTTGGATCATCATGGCCAAGTTCTTTGACCAGGAATGAGGATGATGCCATCAACAAATCATCAATGCAGAAACTAAGTTTAGAGCAACAGAAGCAGATCTGGTTGGAGCAACAAAAAAGGATCATTGAAAAGCATTTGAATTGAATTTGTAGAAATTTATGTGATAGTATTAATAAATTTGATTATGTTTATGAATCTAATTTGATTAGCTTTCTCCTTTGGTTCGCTTTCCTTTTGTGTCTTGTTTATGTTATGATTCTTTCTTTCCCTTTTCACTACAAAAGAAATTGGCAACATTAATGAAATTACACAAAATTTGCTTAAAAAAATATTCCCTCACTAATTCTATAACTGTGACAAAATCATCAACATATAATGGAGTTTTTCGTTATTGATCCATTGAAAAATATTTAATGGACAACCTACTCTACTTTTTGACATAATCAAACTGATTCCCTCATTAAAACTTTTGGGCCATATCCCTAAGCAATGTTTTTCATGAGTAAAATCACCATTTCATTAAAGACCTACCGTTTTCTCCATTGTTTGGTAGCCTGAAATAGTTATGAAGGCCATGAATAGTAATAGTAAAATATTCTAATCTATTTTGATCATCTGACATGAGCTAAAGGGGCTGAAAATGGTAGTGGCAAGAATTGGACCTAATATTAATAGTGAAATAGAGGCAAAAATTGGTTAAAATGCCTTGTTGTCATTGCATGTAGGCCCCACAATTATTCCATGTTTTAAGATAACAAAAAAGATGACAGATTTTTGATGAATGTGTAATTTTGCTCTTGAAAAAAATTATTTAAAGAATATTGCCTTACTTTTCAGTACGAGATAAAAATTTAGGGAGAAATGATTATTTAACCCATATTTATATTATAGGTTAAATTATGATATATTTAAATTATAATTTAACAATTTCATTATTTTCAACATATGTAAAACCTGATGAGATATTGATCCGAAATTTTGATTAAACCAGTTAAGAGGCCAATGAGATGAATCATGAATCCATAAGTTGATGATGAGCCAGTAAATCCGACCAACCAAGTGGATTAACTTGTTTACCAGTAAAAAGGTGGAAAAGATCATAGATAGAAGAAAAGCCGAGAAGCCAATGACCAAAGGATGAAGAAATGGGAAGAGATAATCAAAATGAAGAAATGGAAGCATCAAAAGGTAAAAGAACAAAAAGAAATATTCAAAACAAAAAAAAAAGAACGAAAAATAAGAAGTTGTTAGCCCAATTTTTGACAATCATTTGAAAAAAAAAAAAAATCGGTGTCATGCTTTCAACAAAGAAATGTCATATTGGAATGGTACAAATTGAACTTTTGAAAATGATTTTTCAAGAAGAACCGCATCAACCCTTCTCACATATAGCGAGCTGCTTAACTTTCATGAAGAAAATTTGACTATTAAGCAAAATCAATCATCCTTGGGTGCAGCCAATTATATGCGAGATTTCATTCTATACGTGACTAATCATTTTAACTAGTTGTCAAAACTTCTCAAAAAGAACCCACCACCTTACGGTATAGGTCAAACAAAAAGTAGTTTAATACCTCAATAATTACTTAATATTTAAGGGTGAGAATAGATCAAGTCCTTATTAGGGCCTATGCCTTGACTTACTTAAGGCCCAATCTAATTTATTTACTAAATAAATTTAAGTTAGGTTCAAGCCTTTAATTAGATCTATTTAGTTAAATAAGACAGGCCTAGTTTTTTAAGCCCTAGTCCACGAGCTCAATATGTTAGCCTATTTACATACACATATATTATGTAATATATCACACATACATTAATTTCATAATTTGATTTTTAATCAATCTATTCTTTTTTATTTCTAGTTATATTTTTAATTATATTAGACTTATATATTAATTTTAATGCTATTACTTTATTATTATATTGTATTCTAGTTGATTAGTCATTTTAATTATTATATATTGTAATTGATAAATCAGGTTATATATTTATGGTTAAGATCTAATTTTGTCTTTGTACATATTTTTTAGGAGCACTATGCACCCTTTATTTTTAAGTGAAGTAATTTTACTTCTAAACTATTTTTTTAGAAGCAAAAAACCCCTTCCATTAATGAACTGTTAACTCTACCATTATATACTGACGTGACATTTGTGTGGGGCTCACGCATAATAACAGATAAGATTCTAACCATATCCTTTAGTACTCATTTGCTCTTGAACTTTTTTTTTAAGAGCACTGAGCACCCTAAAGTGTTTTTTGAGGAGCATTAGGTATTCTAAAATCTTATTAAAATAAAATTTAATAAATATTACTAAAATGTTAAATATTTTTATATTTAATATTTTAAATATTATTATTTAAAACATTACACACCAATTTTATATTTTTATATTTTTAATATTTTACAATTTTGTATTAAAAATGAAGGAAATGAACCTCCAAATCAACAAAGGAATTTTTTCTTTTCATCTCTCCATTTTTTTCGTTGTTAAGTAACTTTTTTGTAGCATATTCATAGAATAAGCGATATTTTTTAAATAAATATTTTTGTTGTCATTTTGTTAGTCCAGATTGTCACATTTTAGATTTTACAAACATTACACGACCCAATTTAATATTTTAATATTTTTAATATTTTATAATTTTGTATTAAAAATGAAGAGAATAAACTTCCAAATTAATGAAGGGATTTTTTCTTCTCACTTCTCCATTTTGTTCTTGTTAAATAACTTTTTTGTAGCACATTAATAAAATAAGTGATATCTTTCAAATAAACATTTTTGTTATCATTCTGTAGGTCATGATTGTCATATTTTTAATTTTACTCCTAACACTGCAACATATAGAGAGCATTAAATTTGGGTGGTTTAATATTGTGGAGGAAGATTGTTAGTTGACTAAAAAAAATATTAAGAAACTTAATTAATATTAAAAATATAAGTAAGTTCTGACACGTACAAAAAGCATAATAATTTGGGTACTGTTTTGAAAAGAAAATCAAAGAACGATATATAAAAAAATAGAAAGTTATCTAATGCTAGTTTGAATTGTTAATATTTAAAAAGTGATTTATAAATTTTGAATGAATATTTATAAATAATAATATTTAAATTATTAAATATGAAAATATTTAATATTTTGGTAATATCTATTAAATTTTACTTTAATAAGACTTCAAGGTATTTAGTGCTCATAGAAAAGAATTTTAGAATGCTTAGTGCTCTTGAAAAAAGAGTTCATGGGCAAATTAGTACAAAAAAATGGTTAGTGTTTTACCTATCATTATGCATGGGCCCTATGTGTTGCCATGTCAGTATATAATAGTAGAGTTAATAGTTTATTTTGCTCCCCAAAAAAATAGTTCAAGGATAAAGTTGCTCCACTTAAGAGTATAGGATGTCTAGCACTTTTAAAAAATAAGCACAGAGGCAAAACTAGATCTTAACCCTATATTTATACTAACAGTCTTAAAATATGTTTGAGACGTTTAAAATTAAAATGAGAGCTTATTTAAAAGACTTACTTTTAAGTAGGCTTTCAAGTTAGGCTAGGCTTTAGATAAGTTTAAGTTTGAGTTATGAGAAAAGCCTTATAGATGCTCTAGGCCAAGCTCAAATCTTTGATTTATCACATAGATTCAAACTTATTTGGCCAAAGTTAGATGTGAAAATAGGCCAGGCCATGCCGAACTTTGATCAAACAAACCTAAGTCTATAATAGACATCTAACGCTTGAGCCTGGGCCTAAATCTATTTATAAGCTTTTTTTTAAGCTCAAGCTTAAACCTACTATAAGCCTAACTTAGCTTGAAACTTTTTTAAAATTCTATTTAATCTATAGGCTTTTATGTAGGCCTTTATAAAAGGCTTAACGTATTAGTTTTTAAGGCCACAATGGCACAAATAGGCATTTAAGCCTACCAAAAGACTATATATTATTTAATTAAACCTTATCAAAATTTACAATAAAATAACAAGGTTCCATATATTAGTCTCCTAAAACAAATTAGTAAATAATAATATAAACAATAACAATCAAATGGTTTTTTTAAAGAAAAACCACTCAATTTTTGTAATATCCTGGATTTTAACTTTAAAAATTTTCAATGTTTATAAGGATATTTTAGTCAAATTAAGTGAGTTTTTTAATTAGTGATGTTTTTGGGAGATTAATGTATCTAGTGGATCATTTAACAACCTTAAAAGAGGGTTAAATCCTAGTTTGAGTGAGCCATAGCACAAAGAAAGGCCCAAAGAAAGTCTAGGGATCTTTGTGTCATGTGCCGTGGCAGACGAGCCAATGTACTGTGACGCATGTGCAAAATCTGCATTTATTAGCTAGCGAAATCAGACAAAAAATGAGAAGTGGGACAGAGAGAACATGAAGAGGCGATGGTAGATGACTAAATGGTGTTAGGGCTTGACCTTTGGGTCACTTTGGAAGCATCTGGAGCAAGATTTAGTTATGGGTAAGCTTCCTTCACTTCTCCTTCTTCTTATATTTGAACTTTTTAATGATTTAAGTATTGTGGGGCTTTGATTTTGTGTTTTTTGGGTAATGGCTAAACCCATTGTCTTAGTTAAGGCCTTGGGGAGTTAAATCAAGCCTTTAAACTTAAATTTTTGGATTATATAGTGATTTGGAGTTGTTGGTTAGGGTTTGGATGAACCTTAGGTAGAAATTAGATAATTAAGAGCAATGTGGTAAATGTAATGGTGTTGTTTATATGTTGGGGGAGTTAAATAAGGTTAATGTAGTGTGTTGGAAGGATTGTTAGGGCTAAATTAAGATTTTGAGTATAATGGGTATCTCTAGTTGTATTATACAATAAGATGATTAGTATGGGGATTTGACAATTAAGGGTTTAATTGTGTAGATTAACCTTTGATCGAGTTTTGTGGTGCTAGTGGGCACATGTAGAGCCATTGGTTAACCACGGTAACCTTTTTAGTGACAAAAGAGTTGAGGTAATTGGATTGTCTAATCTCCCATTTTGTATATTTGGATGGTAGTGTGTTTGATTTAAAAGTAATGTTTTGGTTTGATATTAGCCTAGTAATAAAATGAAATGATGATTTGTGAAGTTATGTGAAGTGTAATAAAAAGTTGTTTTTAATGTTCTAATTTTTGGAAAGTAAATG